TAGCGTTTTGGACGTGCGGGCGCAGCGAGATGAGATGAGATGAGATGGCTGTTGGTGATGTTTGCTCTGCGAACCAGCAGGGGGTGGCGGTAAGGGTTGGTAACCTAGGAGGGAGGGGTGATCCTGGCTACTACATTGTTTGAGTCCGGAAGAAGCGCTGCCGCGAGAATTGGAAAGACGACGAGCTGGAGATGGCTAGAGATGTAATTGATAAGGGAAGGTGAGCGAGGGAAACTCGGAAAGACGGAGAGGAAGGGGAAAAAAAAACTAGATTGCAAAGGAAAAATCGGCCGCCACCGTAATCACTAAAGTGGCACGGCTGGCGTCTTTATTCCAGATACCCGCAGAGGGATAGGAAGGCACGGATGGACAACAAGAGGAGGAACAAGGTGGGAGGAGAGGACCGCAAGTGGATGAGAGTGGATCGCATGCAACGATGGGGTGTGTGGGCAAGCATAATAAGCAGATTGGCAAAATAGGCCGGCACATGGGTGAAAGTGAGTGAGAGGAGAGGTAGTTATCCTTTTTGCGCCATACTCGCTCAAAATCAAAGGCGCTCATTCGTTCTGATTGAATGGCGTTCTCCGCCGTCTTTTTTTGCTGCCGACCTAGCGGCACCGCTAATCAACTCGTACCTTGATGCAAAAATGGGACTGGCTGACTGCGACACGGTTGACCAGTGGGGGCAACTTGAAGCGGCCCATGTGTCGGATAGGAAAATGTTTTTGCATCTGGTTCAATTTAGAAAGAAAAGATCCAAAATAAATTGTCTCTCTCTATCTAATTAAAGTTTTAGACCATTCTTTATTCGTGTGTGGGAGGCAAATGCTACGCTGTGCTGAGCTGATGCGGGATACCACGACGGCGAGGCGTAACTGGCATGTTAAAAAAGCCTGCCTGCCCTCTTATTATAGGTAGGTACCAAGGTACCGGTTATGCAAGCCATGCGGGTGATGACTACGGCGTGCCGCCCGCAGTGCGTAATTTTAGCTTAGCAAGTCCAATTGTCTCACAGCCCAGTGCCACAAACATGCCAGTTTACTGGTAACTAGCACCTAAAACGGTGTGATTATTTTTTTTTAGCAACCGATGAATAAATGAGTTGTTTGCATGATGATTTTGACTCCTTCGGAACTTGGCCATGAGTGCGCTGATTATCGTCACACTTGCACCTGGAAGTTTAATATAGCCCCCCCTGCTATGCGTCCAACGGCTCACGACTCGCCAAGTTCCAGGTGACTTTGGTGGGCTCACTTGGCTCGAATCAGTGTGTTTGAGTGGCTCTCGGTCACCAGGAGCAGAGGCACAGATGGGGACAGCAAAACTCGGTGGGTACTTACCTGGGTACTGCGTGCGGTACTTGCCTACCTTGACTTGAGTACCTGGATTGCCTGGGTACGACTTGTGTTCTGAGCCGCAATATCACGGCTGCCAGCTTTGCCAGCGCCAACCAAAGTCTGCCAACTTGGTGGTCAGCAAATAACACCTCGACACCGTCCATCCTCTTACCGTTACATCCAATCATCGTCTGCCATGACCACACCTCTTCAAAAGTTCCCCCTACCTTGACCACTGATAGCCGAATTCTCTTTCGATTTATTTTTTCTCACCTTGGTTGCCGTGGTCGCTTGCTTGGCTCACCCACGCGCAAAGACCACCCGTTTCGGCATTCAGCATCGTCAACAGCAGACGCCCCCACCTGCCTATAGCACGCAGATCGACGTCCCCTGCCCCTCCCTGCGCCCCCCTCCTTTGCCTCTTCCGGGTCTCCCCTCGTTGGCGCTCTCCCTTTTTCATCTGACTTGGGGTGACGTGCCATGCAACCATTGTGCAAACAACCTCAACAACAAAGTAATGAAAGTGCAGTCCACACAGGTCCTTTGTCGACGCGCCATGCCCTGTAACACCATCACACCTTTGTTTGTTCGTTCGCCAGCCCTAATGCGATTGCTTCCGAGCCATCCACGCCAGCCGGACTGACCCCGAGGACAGCTAGCCTGATGATGCCAACTAGCTCTACGGTAGCTTCCCGCCGAGTTCCTAGCTCCAGACTTTAGCCCCAACGCCTCGACGCCTCTTTTCTCCCTTCTCCTTCACCTTCACCAGGCGCACGATTTCCCCTTCATGTGAACGAAAAAGCTCACGTCCGAGCCATAAAAGCACCATCAAGTTCCTGCATTATTCATTTCCACCAGCAACGAGTTTTGACCTGAAACTCCCCTCCTTCTTGGCCGAGACGACACACACAAACACACAAGTCGGCCCTTCCATCTTTTTTTTTTCCGCGCCCAACCAGTCAAATAAACCCCCTCGCCAAACATCACCCACCATGGACGCTACTAATTCCCGCACCGCCAAGGACGTCATTGCCGCTCTCAATCTGACGCCCCATCCTGAAAAGGGCTACTACGTCGAAACATACCGCGACGCTGCCGCCGTCGCCGCCACCAACAACAGCGACGACAAGCCGCGCGCCTCCAGCACTTACATCTACTACCTCCTCGAGGGCGAGTCGGGCCTCTCCCACTGGCATCGCGTCCTCGACGCCGTCGAGGTCTGGCACCACTACGCCGGCGCTCCGCTCCGCCTCTCCCTCTCCTTGGACGACGGCGAGCCCGTCCGTGACTACATCCTCGGCACCGACCTCTGGGCCGGTCAGCGACCCCAGGTCGTCATTGAGCGCGGCGAGTGGCAGCACGCACAGAGCTTGGGGGACTGGACCCTCGTTGGTTGCTCCGTCGCCCCCGGCTTCGACTTTAAGGGCTTTGAGATGGCGCAGCCTGGTTGGGAGCCCAAGGGCGCCAAGAAGCAGTAAAGAGGCTTATGAGTCAATGTTAATGAATGGAACCATGAATTATGAAGGTCATGCACAAGCGTACCATAGTCTCTAATACAGAAACAATGTTGGATGCTGATGAGCATTGACATGTCTTGTACTACACATCACGCCTATTCGTAGCCTGCTCCAATACAGCACAACACAAATGACGCAAGGTACACAACAACATGAAATACACAACTGACACAACAGGCACAACAGGCACAACAGGCACAACTGGCACAACTGGCACAACTGGCACAACTGGCACAACTGGCACAACTGGCACAACTGGCAC